GCGGTGAGGCGGGTGCCCTGCGCCGACCCTCCCCCCTCCGCCTCCTGCCTCGCCATCAGCTCGTCTTCTTGCTTCTCCGTCATGCGGCCCTTGCCCTTGCGGCCGCCGCCGCCGCCGCCGCCGCCGCCTTTGGAGGAGCTCGAGGAGGCGGCGGCGTCGTCCGGCGACTTAATGAAGTGAGAGAAGACGTCCGTCTGCCGCATGAGGTAGGCGAGCCGCTCCTTGGCCGTCGCCTTGGACGCGTCCGACAGCTCCGCCTTCTCGCGTGCCTGGATTGTCTTGAGCGCCGCCTTGCGCGCGCGCTCGCGCTCGCGCCAGGAGAGCTCGACGCCGGTGTCAGGCGCCAGCTCAGCCTCGGCCGGGACCGCCGCCGCGCCCTCCTCGCTGGCCGCCGGCGCCGGCGCGGGCGCGGGCTGACGGTTCGCCTCCATCGCGCCGAAAGAATTTTTCGATTGATTTTGGCTCGCCTCAGGATTCTTGCGAGAAGCGGCGAGAGACTGCGAAGAGAGATAGGAAGAGGCAGACTCCCTAGGGTGGGCGACGGCTAGCGCATCACACACCTCTCCTTAAAATCCCTGTGTGGTGGCGGCGTGCCGTCCTCCCATCCCTCCCTTGGGTTGTCTGTTTTCTTTCTTTCTTTCTTTTCAGGATTCTTTTCCAGCGAAGGTGAGTGCGAGCTCCCCGAGACGCTCGAATCTGTCCGAGGGGTGGCGGCAAACGGCTGCGCGGTGAGCACAGTCGCACTCCTCTGTGTAGCGCCTCAGGGTGAAGGGGGGGCATGCCGGGTCAAGCTGAGACTAATGGTCGAGGCACCAGGGGTCGTTCTTCGCCCACAGCAGCAACTGGCAGAGCAGGCGCAACGACGCCCGCCCGACTGGGTGGCATACACAGACGGGTCGGAAGACCTAGGGAAAGCAGGGTGGGCCTATACAGTACTCATCGGGGGCGACGCAATCGGCGATAGGGGCGCGTCGCTGGCGAGCGAGGGCTACGGGCCAGTTGTCACTTCGGCGGCGCACCCAGCCTACCTCGGCGCGCGAAGGCATACCAACAACACGGCGGAACTAACCGCCCTAGCCG